GTCCACCCTGGGGCCCAGGAAGCCTCAGACCCGGGCAGGGGTGCGTGGGCTCAGAGCTTGGGGCCCGCACCTCCGACGCCGCCTCCTGTGGGAAGCCCCTGGGATAGGCCTCCCGCCCCTCTGTGCGCGGCTGCTGGCCAATCTGAGGGGTCCCTGAGCCCAGAGCCCAGAGCTCCCTGCCATGTCTGGGGGCTCCTCCTCCCAGCAACTTGGGAAAGGAATGAAGGGTCTGTCTGCGCCCACCGTGGCTGGGGGTGGGGGTCAGGACTGGGGGTGCGGCTGGGCCTCAAAGCTGGTGGAATGTTCCAGGGCCGGAGGGGCTCTCTAGGGAGCTCCCCGTTCATGTCTAACTTCAGCCTCTGCGTGTCCCCCGCCCCCCATCCCAGGGGGAGGAGAGTGGGAGAGCAAGAGCGAGGTCGCCCGGAGGGGGGGTTCTCAGCCCACCCCATACCCAGATGCCCCCCTAGCGTGGAGGGCAGAGCCATCGCAGGGCCTGAGGGTGGGCGAAGGGCGGAGGGCGGAGGGCGGAGGGGCCTCTTCTGCCCCAGGGTCCCCAGAGGGTGGTGTCAGGCCCGGCCGGCCTGCCGGGTGTGTTTGTGGTGTGACAGCTCAGGAATCCCCAGGGAAGATTGAGCACCAGCAGGTGGGCTCTGCGCTGCCCACCCCCTCCCTCTGCACCTCCTGGGGCCCAGCCTGGGCCCAGGGTGGCAGGAAGCCTGAGGGCTGGCGGGGGCTCCTCACCCGGGAGGGGAGGGAAGTTGCCGAGGAAAACAGGGTTTGGAATTCCAGTCCCCCTCCCCCGCCGGCCGCCTGCCAAGACGGAATTATTTTGGATTATCCAGCCGTGTCCAGCCACCCAAGGGGGAGGCCGCAGCCTGGAAGAGGGATCCACTTCCGGGGCTGTGGGTTGAGAGCCCCGGGAGGAAGAGACCGGCTAGTCTGGGCAGCTCCCCCTCCCCCAGGCAGCTCAGCTCCGAGGCTGCTCCGACCGGTCATGGGGGGGTGGGGTGGGAGGGGATGCGTCACCCTCGGGTTGGAGAACGCCCAGGGGTGGCCCCAGCAGCTCGCGGAGCCCGCCTTGGGGAGGCCATGGGGCAGGAGGAGCCCCGAGCCCCATGCAAGGGGCCCAGCCCCAGGACCCTTCATCCCCAGAGGCCCTGGGACCCACGGCCTTGAGCTGGGCTCAGGGACACGCCTTGGGTGGGTTGCTCACACACCCTGTGCTTCCCAGAGATGCCAGGGCGCAGGTGTGGGTGTGACAGGCTGCTGAGGGCGGGGCTCGGGGGTCTCCCAGAGGCTGAAGCTGAGGCCGCCCACCGGCCCCCTCACTGACCCCCGAGGGGCCGCGGACACACACCACCTCCTCCCAAGCCCCCTCGTGGCCCAGCTCTGGCCCCCGTGGATGTCCCTGCTGGGATGTGGTGCCCGTCAGCCTGTCCCACGGGCGAAGGCC